AAAAATTCGTCAGTTAAGACTCAATACGTAATTATAGAATCAATAAAAAGGTTTTCAATTTATCTTAGTTTATAGATATACCCCAGCAAAGAATTGAATAAAATTTTAATGAAGTGCTTAAAAAAAACAAACCATAAACAATTTTGACCTATTAAGAACAATTTATAACTGATAGATAAATCTAGTAAAAAATAACCATCAAAATTCATCTAAAGAAAAAAAATATGTTTTTGCGTTAATTAGGAGCTTTTTCAAATTAATGCAGATCAATCAAATTTTTTGTTTACTCTTTAAGAGTATTATAAAAACGTAAAACATATTAAATTTCAGATTTTTTTTTAAAATTTAAAAATTATGAAAATTTGAAATAAATTAAATTAATAAGGAATATTTTTAAAAAAAAGGCACATCGATACCCAGTTTGGGTATTGATAATAAATTATTTCCAAGACCTAATTCAAATAAAGTACATCATTCACAGGATGGTTATTCACATATACTTATTAATAATACTATATTTATTTCCTATATTCATTAAAAATTTTTAATACATATATTATTTTTTTCACTCAATAAAAGATGCCAAGCCAATTAATGGCGGTAAATAAAACAAAAGGAAAAGATTCTAGAGATAAAATCTCTTTCATAGTAACCTGGCACAAAGAAAATCGAGCGGTCATTCTGCATACGTAGGGCCTCAGATGCAAATCGCCAGGGTGACGTTAGTCATTCGATGCCCCCCACCTAAATCCTCATCTCTCGCTCATTGGACAATGCGAATCACGTGGTCGGGCAGTAAAAATGGCCCCTCAGGCCTTTCCCCCCGACTGACCACCAGATCTATTTTGGGGGAGAACAAGGAATCAAGACGAAAAGCTCCTTTGGTACGTAAATTTACCTCTCGCTCGCTTTGAATAAAGGAAGATGAATATCACATTGGATTGGGGGAGCGTAAATCACATACGTCCCCCCACACACACAGATCGATATCAAGTTCTAACACATAGTGATGAGCCAAAGCTATAAAAATTACCGTCTTTGAGGTACTAAGGCACCGGAAGCTATTTATATCCATATTATTTCCGGTTTCTAAATTTTTGAATTGGAAAAATATAGAAGATAGGGCGAAGCAGTGGAACGAAAAAATATAATACTAGAGAAAATCTAAGTGGGTGCTAGAATTGGTGGTTGTTTCTCCGAATGTTTTCGCTTCACTGCATATGAACTATATCGGCAGAGAAAACACTTTTACAGAATTTAAAGGGGGAATACTTTCTAGTTAGAATATTTGTTTATTCTATTAATTTTACACACATTATAAATAGTTTTAAATTATTTATTTTTATTTAGTGAACATCATTTGGTTCAAAGCAATTCATGCAGAAGATACATAATTGCAAAAAAAGATGTAAGTAATTTTTAGTTTCTAGTTTCAATCAGAATTATTTATTATTATATTTACTAAGATTTTGTGTTTTGCACTATTCGTCAAAGAACTATATTTGTTGTAAATGAGAAAATGTAAATAAATACGCATCAATCAATCAATAATCCAATAAAGATAAACAAGTAATTTTTGTGAGGAATAATAAAGTTTAGTAACAATGTTTGAATAGGGGTTTTTAAGATACCCTTTTACACACTTAACCGTGAGTCAGCGTTTGAAATAGTTGGTATAAATGATAAAAAATAAAAGTTCAGATCATGAAATATGGATACTACGTATATTAATAATACGTTTAATTTCACAAAAAATGATTCAATCACTTCTTGAATCGATTAGATGATATTTCTCTGAATATTTAATAATAATAAAAAATAACAAATTATAAAATAGTAATAATATTACAAAAACGCAAATCATATAAAAGCAAATTTTCCAAACCAAATTAATTGAACTAGCTGCTGTCCACTATTTTGCAAGCCCGGAAGTACTTTGATTTCAATTTTAACCATCTTCAAAAGATGTTCGCGATATAGTCTAAGTTCTCTAAGGAAGTTTAGTAATAATTCAAAATCTGTCCATTAGTATGAGTTCGGGATATTTTAGGATAGTAGGCAGATGAAGTATAATCATCTCTGTTGTGAGATAAGATAGCATCCCAATGCTCCATTACGTGCTGTACTAACTTTCTCAAGCACCTCTTAAGTCATAACTTGAGTATCATATAATAAATATGCCATTGCTCGGAAAGCGTAAGCTCCGTCACCAAAAATAGGCCTGACAGTATGTGGCACCATAGCACCGTTTATGTTTTCTACAGCCATTTTAGAAAGAATCAAAAATAAATCTAAATAATTAACAAGTTAACTTACTTTAAATTAACGTAACTAAGTTTTTTTTTCTATAAAAGTACAAAATTATCTAAATAAATAATTCGCAAAGCGCAAACTCCGTCATCTAAAATAGGCGTGACAGTATGTGGCATCATAGCACCGTTTATGTTTTCTACAGCCATTTTAGAAAGGATCAAAAATAAATCTAAATAATTAACAAGTTAACGTATTTTAAATTAACGTAACCAAGTTTTTATTTCTATAAAAGTACAAAATTATCTAAATAAATAGCTTATTTTAAGTTATATATTAGATAATTTAGGTTTAGACGATAAATAAATTATCACGGATAATTATTTCACTACTTAAATTATTAATTATGACAGCATAACAAAAAGAATTTAAACAAATATTTACAAATTTTTTAACACAATTTAAACTATTGTTTAAAACAACAGTTTAACAAAATAAATCTTGACAAATACTCAACGTATAATTAATAATTTAACACTAAATAAGCTATCACTTAACAAACAAAAGGAATTAAATACACGCATCTAACAAAACAAGACAAAATGAATTAAACAATTCTAAATAAAAAAAATTAATCTAACAAAAAAAACTGTTCATTTAACAAAACATAACAACATCAAACAAAATGAATGTAACTATATAATTAACGCATTACTGGTTATTTAACACTATTTAAATTTATTACTAAAGATAACCTAACAAAATGATTTATTGCAGATGACAACATAGCAAAAAGAATCTAAACAAATACTGAATGTATAATAATTTAACAATAAATAAACTATCACTTAACAAGCAAAACACATCTAACAAAACAAAGCGAAACAAAATGAATCGGACAAATCTAACACAACAAAATGAATTTAACAAAAAAACTATTCATTTAACACAACAAAACATCAAACGAAATGAATCTAACTAAATAATTAACGAATTGCTAATTATTTAATACTGCTTAAATTTATTACCTAACCTAATTAAATGAATTAGTACAGATGACTATAGTGTTGCCAATTTAGTTAGAGAAATAAAAGCGTTTTTAGTGCGATTTAAGAGAAATAAATATATAGGTGAAAAATCATAACTAAACATTTTTTATATTAAAAGCTGTTTTAAAAAAATATGCATTGATAGAAAAATATTTTAATTCTTTTGAAAAAATAATAGTAATATTATAATTTTGTTACGAAATAGAACAATATAGCTTATAATAGTAACCCTTTGCGCTAAAATTTAAGTAGATTACAAACAGCGTTAAAAATAATAAAAGTAAAATTTTTATTTTAAATACTAAATGGGTTTAGGTGTCACACAAATAACTTCTAACAATATTGATTAACCCCTTAACGATCGGTTAATTTTCAAGAAAACGGTCATAAATGTGTCTATTTTTTTTATCCCTGTAAATTGATTAGTGCTGACATCTAGTTTAAAATTAATTAACTATCTACAATTACCCTAAAAATATCCTGGTACTGCCATCTGGTGTGTAAAATGAGAAATAAAATGTTTTACGGGCAAAAGAAATGAATTAGTTTTATTCTTATTGGCGCGTTACTATTGAACACTCCAGCCCGGAAATACCACGGGAGCGAGAAATAGAGGGCGAAACCTTACCCCGCCATTTTCACGGAAGCGAGAAGGAAGGGGTTAGTTGTACATTGATCTCAATTAGTGTGATGTAACCTCTGACGAATTATATTAACCCTGCTTTCCCATTAACTTATTCTACCGATGAAGGTGTACTTATGTGACAGAAAAACACGTTTAGAATTTTAAATTTTTTTTTTACAAAATGTTCTTAAACTTTGTTTTTAATCTATTTCCAGATACGGGTTTTGTTTCAATCTTATTCTCGTCCTATTTAGTGGAAAAAGGTCTCGAGAAGATTTAGCAATCAACAATCGATTAGAAATACGCGCAGATTTGGCTGCAAATAAAAATCGCATGAGTGCGAACGCTAAGATGGGAACAGTGTAAATGGGTGTTAGGAATTAATAGATCTTGCTAATTGGAAGATTGCGGATGAAAGCAAAGCATAAGCATAACTGTCAATGCGCAAATTTTAAGGCTAGTTTAATGAATGCCTCTTTTTATCTTAGTGAGCACTCAAATAAAATATTTTGGATTTTTAATAGTGTCTTTTAAAGCTCTTTTGCGAAAAAAAAACACAGTTTTAGTGCATAGAGCAAAGCTATAATTTTAAACTATGTCTACACGAGCTTTGAGGCTCTTACTCAAACAAGGTTCCCGCTCAGTTTTCAGAAAAAATAACTAACTAAATAAATAAATAATAAAAAAAATAGTGACTTTCTAGGACTTAAAATCAAATTTTTTCTAGGACCTATTTGGTAATATATTAACTTTAAAATACATGTCAACCAGATTTTAAAATTACGTTGAGGTAGAAAATATGTATTAAGCACAAAGCTTAGCTGACTAAATAAAACTGAAAAATTTATTTTCAATCCACCCAGTTCTCGATTGGTTCAGGTCAAATGAATGGGTCCGTCCTATAAACGGGCTGTGAGGCGCGTGCGACTGAAGTCATATTTTTGGCCATAGATGGCGCCACTGAAAAACAAGAAACGCATCCTCTGCCCTAAAATACGCTTGATTTCACCAAGCAGGCTTGCTGATATTAGCAAGTGGCATTAGAAACAATAGGATTATTATGAAACATGATTTACCAGATTAAGCGCTTTTTCTGAATCGACACTGTCTTCATCTTGCCTGAGGTCAACCGAGTCATGACTAGTGCTGCTGTCTTGGGTGTCGTTCGAGAGATCGCCATTCATCCCGGAATCTGCAGAAGAAAGGAAAAACATACGATAAGTACACTTGAATATATGATAAGTATACTACACTACTATAAGTATATGATAAGTATACTACACTACTATGAGTATATGATAAGTATACTACACTACTATAAGTATATAATAAGTATACTGCATTACTATAAGTATATTTTTGATGTACTCGTGTCAGAATGTCTAACGGTAAATAACGGATGTGCGATAACTATGAATGACGATAAATATCCACAATAATGTCACGAGTATTATCAACAACGATAATAATAAGATACGATACTAATATGATATTACCGAAATGATTACCGGCAAATTAAATAACGATAACTACTCGAATATAGTCAGTAACAATGATTATAGAAGACGATATTATCGTGGTGTAATGATTATGAAATATTGGCAAATGTAAAAATAACGAAATGTAGTTGGAGAAATATCACAATCAATACACATATCAATATACATATTATCATCATATCGAAATAACGATATATACTTACGATATATTACGATATTTAAATTTCGATATCGCTCAAAACTAACTTTTATATTTAATTACCCACAAATTTAATATATTAATACATATTAAACAAGAAATGTAAAAATGCATTTACAAGAACCAGATTTTAAATGGATAAATGAAAAATTATAAATTAATTTTAACAATTAGTTTTTATTTAAATCGACAAGGAAAATCTGGTTTTAAGGAACTAATTTTTCAAAAAGTATAACCCAAACTTTTACATTCAACTACATACAACAACATTTTAAATTTAGGACTAACAAACTAGAGCGATTCAGCATATATGGGATCAGGAATCCTTACTAAACTATTTGTGTAATGTTAACCGAATCTTCAGATCGTTGAAATGCTCTTGTTGTTTTCTGAAAAATTACTTTCCTTCTCTTGATAACAACTTGGTTATAATTATTATGTGTGTTGGAGCACGAACATGCTTAACTTCTTTATATAATTTATTCCCCAGGCTCTTGCTTCCTAAACCAGTCAAACAGATTTATTCCCTAGGCTCTTGTTTCCTAAACCAGTCAAACAAATTTATTCCCGAGGCTTTTGCTTCCTAAACCAGTCAAATAGATTTATTCCCGAGGCTCTTGCTTCCTAAACCAGTCAAACAGATTTATTCCCTAGGCTCTTGCTTCCTAAACCAGTCAAACAGATTTATACCCTAGATTCTTGCTTCCTGAACCATTCAAACAGATTTATTCCCTAGGCTCTTGCTTCATAAACCAGTCAAACAAATTTATTCCCTAGGCTCTTGCTTCCTAAACTAGTCAAACAGATTTATTCCCTAGGCTTTTGCTTCCGAAACCAGTCAAACAGATTTAATCTCCAAGCTCTTGCTTCCTAAACCAGTCAAAATCTTCATATCAGCGTATGAATAAATATAGTTTACTCTCATTCTTATGAAAACAATCACGTAAAATGTTGCGATTAATAATTAAAATTTAATAAGAAAACAGCAACAACAAAATATTTATTTGTTCGAAAGGAATAATCAGCTCTCTTTGAAAAAGAATAAATTGGATCTCACACAGAACCAAAGCCAATCGAAAAAAACAAAATCGCATTACATAGAATTCTATTCAAACAGCCTTAAATGTTAGAACGGTGGACAGCACGGGATTCGCAAACGTAAGAAGAAAAAAAAAAATTCGAGAAAAGAACGAATTTAGACTCCTCTACACTATTTTTTCTTCCGAATTTCAGGAAAGCGCTCTCATTTCCAATCTCGTTTGCGATCGCACTGACCGCTCTGGACTTGCGAGGAGGCGGTAGAAAGAAAAAAAAAAGAAGAAAAAAAAAAAGGGACACACACATTGCATCAAGAAATCTAATCGTAGAGTACACAAGATGAAGTGGTGGGAGGGTAGAAGTACTGGACGTGTTCGAACGGAATATGAGATCAAAAGTTTCGCTCCCGTTTCATCATTTCGCTGAGGAGATTTCCAGAAACAGGAAGATAGTTCCATCCCTCCAATACACATATATCGATATTGTAGCAGAAATCTGCACATGTAGCGAATTTTTTTTTTTTAAACATCTCTAACTTGGTGGCACCTGAGACCACTTTTCATAAATGTGTTGCATCTTGAAGAAATGGGATAAATACAGTTTGAATAAATACGCGACGTGAGAGAAGGAAACTGAGACAGGATATTTTTAAAAAAAAGTAATTGGGATTTAAGACACGAGAAATGGCCACGCATAGTTGAGGGAGAGAATTTTAGTTTTTAGAAACAAAAAGATTTAATTTATTGTAATAAAGTAAACTTTGATAGGGTATCAGCAAGAGGTTTGAACACACATGGAATATATTTTTTATATAAACATGGAGGCACATACGGTTACTTTTATTGCATCGCGAGAAATTGTATATCACTGCATTGCAAGAAATTGCATATCACTATATCACGGGAAGTTAGAAAAGAAAAATGGAGAGACGTGGTGGCTCAGGAGATAGACCGCTCGCCTCCCAATGAGATGACCTAGGTCCGATCCCATGGGTTGGCTGGTGGATTCGAATTCTGCTCCTGGCTCGATCCGATCACACTACTGACATAAACTATCTTTAGTGGTGTATGGATCTTGGGTTAGAATCCCTTTGCTGTTGGGCTAACCATGGTAGGTTTACGTGGTTTTCCTTTCCATGTGATGCAAATGTGATGTAAAAGTCAGTAATGTAATGTCAGCAAAAAGTGCATGCAAATGCATTGTGAGGTATTGAAAGAGAAAACTAGAGATTACTAGAAAAAAAAGCCACTTTTATCTTCTCTATGTAGTCATATCGTAATGGTAAAAAATCTGCATACGAGTAGAACATTTTTATTCTATATTTTTAACTTGGTTGCACAAACGACTTTTATAGCATAACATTCTATCTTATTTTTTTTTTGTTCATCATTGCATAGTGATAAAAAATTGCTTTATATATATATTTTTTATTTCATAAAGAAGTATATAATATTTAGAAATAAAATATTTTCAAAATTGAAATATTTAATTGATTTAAAAAAAAACTTCTTAAAAACTATTTAACTTATTTCTGGGGAAAAAAATAGTTAACCTAAAGCACTTTAACAAAAGTACCTGTGCTAAGCGAAGTCAAGTAAAAAGCTCTACTGCATTTTTTAGTTATTGATTGATTTTTTTCTCCTCTTTGAAAGTTACAATTGGTAAGAATAGAAAGAATAAAGAAAAATAACAATATACCTTTCACTACATTAGATATCAGACTAACAACTGAAGACTTAACCCCCGCATCTCTTACAAATACAACGACACCCCCTTTACTGTTCGCTTTCTTTGAGTTATGACTAATGGACCAGCTAACTCCTACAACTTTTGACGTAGGTGGACTTCTCCTGACCTCCCCTCACCATATCCTCAACATTCGAATATATATCTACAGATGCGTATTGGAGGAAAAATATGAGAAGAAAAGCAATGTAAGTCGAACAGAATTTTCAATAAAAAAGATTTTATCACAAATATATATTGAATAAGGAATGACCAACGAAAAAATTTTTTAATAAAAGTTTCTTGGGTATGGTCATTATTTAGAGGATCAATTAGCATCCATACGCGGTTTATTGCCCTATAACTATATGATACAGCTTGTGTAAGCTTAATTATAGAACAAAACTGATATTTACGTCTTAGTCAATAACGGAACCATGCAAAGTACATACAGAACAAAACAGTCTTCATTCAGTTATCGAACAAGATATTGCGATTGCTTTTAAATTAATTGCATGCCATATAACTTAACTGAGGAATTAAACTGGTGCTTTTGTTGAATTCAACGGAAAACCAAAGAACCAACCAAAGAATATACAAAAAAAGTTATCTGGTAATATATTTATATTACCCACTAGATCGGTGTTAAAAATTAACCACATGCCATAAAGCAGCTAAATGCTTGTGACGTATTCAACGGGAAATAATGGATAGACAAAAGCATTTGAAAAAAACAAAGAAAATATCTTTTGATAGTTTCTTGGCAACTCGATTCTTCTAACATCTAAATAGAGTGTTTCAAATTAACTGCATGCCTAGAATTTAACTAAGGAACAAAATTGGGTGTTTGTGAAGAATTCAATGGAAAAATAATACATAAACAAAAGCATATGGAATAAACAAAGTAAACATCTTCTGATAGTTACCAGACGATATATATTTCCATTAAACCCTAGATTGATTGCCTAAACTTTGCCATAAGTAAAGAATTGCTGCTAACATTCAATTCAACAAAAAATATACATCATATGAAATATTAAACTGTACAATTCAATGGAAAAACAGTAGAAGGTAAAATAGATATTTAAACCAACAAAATATCGTTTGAATACCGAAAGTGATTTGTATAATTCAATAGAAGAATAGCAGAAGATTAGATGTGTAGAGTCTAAATATCGTCTGAATACTGAAACTGATTTGTACAATTCAATAGAAAAATAGTAGAAGATTAGATGTGTAAAGAGTCTAAATATCGTCTGAATACTGAAACTAATTTGTACAATTCAATATAAGAACAGTAGAAGATAGAGTAGACAAGTTAACATACAAAACATCATCAGAATATTGAATTGATCAATTCAAAGGAGAATCAGTAGAAGACAAAATAGATGTGTAAATGGGCTATAAATCTTCAGCTGAATAAGTGTATATGATAATTACGCTTTTAAAATATCTTTCAAACCACTACTGTTACGATTTTTTTTCTCCGGCTAGCATGTAATAAAAATGTAATTTTCTAGATCCAAGCATATACCAGTGTTCTCCTAAATATCCAGATGGGAGTTTGGTAGATATATATACTCTTCATCTAGATCGCCACATCAGAGCGACAGATGTTTCTGATGGAGGGGAAATGTATTCTCGCTTTCCATTGTTGGTTCCACCGGTAGCAACGACTGACCTATGTCCAGTGTTCTCCTCCCGAATTCAACAAAGGAGCGGGTGGTCCAG